GAGTGTGTGTTTCTCTATGACTGTGTGTGTCTGTGTGTGTCTGTACCTGGGTGCAGTGTGTATGTGTGTGTCTGAGTGTGTGTTTCTCTATGACTGTGTGTGTCTGTGTATATTTGAATGTGCATGTGAGTGTGTATGAGTATAGTCTGTATGTGTCTGTGTGTCTGAGTGTGTGTCTCTCTGTGACTGTGTGTGTATCTGAAGGTATCTGTGTCTGAGTGTGTGCCTCTCTGTGACTGTGTTTGTCTATGTGTGTGTCTGAATGTGTCTATGTGAGCGTGTGTCTGACTGTGTGTCTGTGTGTATTGGAGTGTGTCTGTGTCTGAGCGTGTGTCTCTCTGTCTGTGACTGTGTGTGTCTGAGTGTGTGCATGGACAGGGGAGGCCTTGCCTCTGAGGTGAGGTGACTGCTGTGGGTAACTGAGGTCAGGGCGCTTTCCGATGTCCAGAGGCCAGGGAGCAAAAGCAGCGGTCAGCATTTGCGGTTTGGGCCTGTGCTATTTTTATTTTAAAGTTAAAAAAAGAAGGAAAGAAAGAAAACAACAAGCGGAAACTCGCTGCCATTTAAAGACTAGGTCAGAATTAGATAACTCCGGGCTGTGCCAGCAGCCCCTGCTGTCTGTGAGTGAAGGCTCACACCCTGTGGGGGGCCCATGAGACCCCATGTGCTGGTAACAATCCTTGCTCCGCCACCTACCAAGGGCAGGACACCCACTGTCCTCATCTGTGCCAGCCTCTTGCCATCTTGACGATCACCCCAGGAAATACGGTGTATTGTTCTCAGTTAAGGGGGGGTGTGTGGAAATCGAGGCTCCGAGGTGTCAGGTCACAGCGGCTGCAAGCAACACAGCTGGGGATGACCCTGGTCCTCCTGCCTTGAAGCCCCAGGCGAGGCTTTGCCCTGCGTCCCCTCCCCCATTGCTCCACAGACATCTTAAAGAGAGGGCTGAGCTGGCCGTTGGGTTGTTTAACCACTGATTTTCCACAAAGAAATAGGTTTTCTTCAGAAAATTGATTAAAACAAAGTGTTTTAAGAGAGAGGAAAGTTCTCTCAGCCATCTTGTAATATCAGTGTCACCCACGCCTTTAACCACTTCCCCACCGTATCAGGTACCCTGGCTTTTTATAGCTGAAGACAATGTTGAAAATATCAGAGGGCCTCATCCTGAAATTCATATTTCCTCACCGCCTACCTGAGGAGAAGCTGGGCTGAGTGGATGCCGTCTGCACTGGCCAGCAGGCTGCAGGCTCAATTTGCCCTTTAGAACAAGGGGATTTGACCTTGAATGTCTTGAGTGTGTGTGTGTGTGTGTGTGTGTGTGTGTGTGTGTGTGTGTTTATGTGTGTGTGTGTGTTCTGCTAAGAAAAAGGATAGCCAGTCATTTTCAGAAAATCTGACTCCCTCATCATTGGAAAAATAACCTTGAGGGCACAGGAACCCCACAACAGCACACCTAAATCACGTTGACCCTTGTTCATTGCAATGTTGTAGAATTTCCGGCCCTGGGCTGGATATTTTACTTTTATCATTGCTTAACCAACCTGTTGCCATAGAGTTGGCTTCAACTCGTGGCGACCCTGTGTGTGTCAGAGTAGAACTGTGCTGCATTGGGTTTTCAATATTGATTTTTCAGAAATAGATCTCCAGGCCTTTCTTCTGAGGCACCTCTGGGTAGACTCAAACCTCTACCCTTTCAGTTCGCAGCCAAGTGCGTGAACCGTTTGTAACACTCGGAGACTCCACAAGGAGGAAAAGGTATTAGGTCACTTGTCCGGAGTCGTCCGCCTGGAGTGTGTAGCCAGGTCTGGGGACACAAAGCTTCTACTCTGTGTTGCCTCTGGCTGCATTTAGCTTCTGGAATTTGAGCCTCGACTCTTGTGTAGACAGGACCGGTACTCGGCCCTGGACATTCCTTCCTGGCCCTTTGGGTATCGGCCTCACCCAGTGCTTGCCCAGGTCTCAGCCCCCTTGCAGGACGGCCCGTTCTCTCTGCAATGCCCATGCTTTCTCCATACCCCTTCAGCCCCAATGCTGAAGTAGAGACCAGGCAAACCTTCAAAGGGCAGTGCTGGAATGTGCATCCAAATTGCAGGATATTGTTGCAGCACCCCTCAGCCTTCCCACTGGGCCCTCGGGGAAGGGCCCTGCTCCTCCCTGGGCACCCATCTGATGACTCTTAGCCTCAGTAGGTCGCAGCATGGGCACCTCAGGTCACAGCTTGCAGAATGCTTCCCTCTGCGTTTCTTCAACAATCCTCTCGATAACCCCGTGAGGATGCCATGGCCTGGGTATACTCATTTTGTGTATGAGGAAACTGACCTCTGAGTCTGATAGTTTTAGCTCCTGGCAATCTTAAGCTCAGCATAAAAAACCTGTTGCCATCGAGTCGATCCCGACTCCTAGCGACCCTGTAGGACAGAGTAGAACTACCGCGTAGGGTTTCCAAGGAGCAGCTGGTGGATTTGAACTGCTCACCTTTTGGTTAGCAGCCTGAGCTGTTAACCACTGCACCAATTGAATATGAACCATGGAGTGAGCCAGATTAGTAGTCTATTTACATGGGAGTAAGAGGATATACTTCAGCTCAAGGACACATCATCTCGTTCTTGATAAACATACACACACACATGCACACTCATACACACACACACACATGCACACGGCATAACGTGGTAGTTGACAGCGCAGCCTCGAAGGTGGGGTGCTTGGACTTGAGTCCTGGCCCTGCCATTCACCAGCTGTGTGACCTTGGGTAAGATACTGACCCTCTCTGTGCCTCAGCTTCTTCCTCCTAAAAATAAGGGGGTACATGACACCTACCTCCTCAGGTCCTGGAGAGGATTTAATGAGTTAATATATGCAAAGTACTTAGGACTATGCCTGCAACTTAGTAAGTACGCAATAAATGTTAGGTATTATTATTTGTTGTTGTTAAGCTCCCAGTTCTGGGTACATATTGGATACTTGATAAATGAGAACTCTCCCATTTCACTTCAGCCTTAGTGTGCTTCTCTGCCAAATGGGATGATAACCTTACCGAGATCACGTGATTGCTATGACGATTACGTGAATAAAGCAAAGTTCCCGGGACAGTGGGTTTCCGGCAGGTAGTAGCTGGTCAGTGAACGATACTCTCCAGTCCAGCCACCCATGTTACAGATGCAGAGTCAGAGGCCCAGAGAAGTGACTCATTCAAAATCACACAGCTTACATGACATGGAATAGCTCCTTCCACTCTCTGCCCAGGGTCCTGGAGCTGAACAGACTCTGAGTCCAGCTGTCTGACTCCACAGTTCTGACTCCATCTCTTACAAGATTTTTGACCTCAGCCAAGTTACTTCACTTCCATATCCCTTTATTTCCACATCTGCAAAATGGGATGAATAACAGCCACTAACTCAGAGGACTGTTGTGAGGGTAAAATGCGCTAAAACAGGGAAGCTCTGGGTTACTTCCTGCAAGCCCTCCATCCATGGTAGTTGCTGGTATTACTCTTAGCGGTGGTGGGACTAACAAAGGAAGTGGAGGTGGTACGACCACCTCTGCCCTGTGTTCTCCCTGATTCGTTAGGAGGTACTCAGGTCTGAGCTGGAGACAGGGGAGCCACAGAGGAAGTGCCCTGGGAGAGTGTGCTGGTCAACCCTACTCGGCTCATCTGTTCCGTCCTGGGCAGATGACCCAGCTCACCCGGTAGTCCAGGCACAGAGATCACCTTCCTGGGACCCAGCTCCCACCACATACACTCTTAGGAAGGAAACGTTCCCAGCAACCCATTGTTTTAACAGAGACTTAACGTTTACTTTGCTGGAACAATTTACTTTCACATTAACCGTGTTTCTATCATCTTCTCTGGGGGCATCTATTTTAAAGTCCAACACTATCTTTTTTTTTTTTTTTATTGTGCTTTAGATGAAGGTTTACAGAGCCAATTAGTTTCTCGTTAAACAATTAATACACATATTGTTGTGTGACATTGGTTGCCAATCCCACAACATGTCAACACTCTCCCCTTCTTGATCTTGGGTTCCCCATTACCAGCTTTCCTGTCCCCTCCTGCCTTCTCTTCCTTACCCTTGGGCTGGTGTACCCATTGAGTCTCATTTTGTTTTATGGGCCTGTCTAATCTTTGGCTGAAGGGTGGACCTCAGGAATGACTTCAGTACTGAGTTAAAAGAGTGTCCAGGGGCCACACTCTCAGGGTTTCTCCAGTCTCTGTCAGACCAGTAAGTCTGGTCTTTTTTTTTGTGAGTTAGAATTTTGTTCTACATTTTCCTCCAGCTCTGTTGTGATCCCCAAAGTCCAACATTATCTTAACTGAACAAGGAAAACTTGCTATTTGAAGGAGTCCCAGAAGATGGTTCTGATCTTTATCCCCTGTTCACATTCCATCATGTAGAACTTCAGCTTCAAAGCCAAGACTTGGAAGATCTCCTAGACCAGAGCCCGCATTTACAGATGAGAAACTGAGTCCTAGGGAGACACCCACTCAAGATTGTACAATGTGGTGATGTGATATTGGTCAGCTCTGACTTCCCAAATGCTTGTGGGCATCCTTAAAAAGGGTTCAGGTGGCCACCAAGTGCAAGTGAAGGATGCATTGCCCGGATGTGGCCCCTGAGGTCCCGTGGGTGGAGGAGGAGGAAACAGATGATCTAGACCATGTTCCCTGAGTCAGCTTTCTCTTTCAGGGAGGCTCTGCTCTCTCCCCAGCCGCCATCATCAGCCAAGAGAGGGCTCAGCAGCAGGCAACTGCTTTGGCAAAGGAGGTCGACTGCCCTACCTCACCCAGCCAAGACCTGGTGTCCTGCCTCCGCCAGAAGCCCGCCAGTGTTCTCAATGATGCCCAGACCAAGGTGGGCACTAGTGTGCAAGAGTGGGTCAGGGACTTTCTCTGGTCTTTTACCGATGAAAGGGGCATGGCCCAGTCAAGGCTACACAGCAGGTTGATGAGCAGGAGGAACTAGAATGCAGATTCCCTGGCCCTGGAATCTGTGCATGGGCCACAGTATGTAATGGACCAGCATGGAAACTGAAGTTAGACAGATCTCGCTGAGCCTTGATTTCTCATCTGTAAAATGGGGTAGTGATGCAAACCTTATAGAGCTGGAAGATAAAATGAGATAGCAAATGTAAAGGGTTCTCCCAGTGCCCGGACCGTGATAGGCACCAGTCACGTAACAGCTACAATGTATTGAGGGTTACAGATGTGGCTGCCCAAGTGGGTAATGGATTTTGGATATGATGCTGTGTGCTTCCTTCTCCAGCCTGCAGAGAGCTTGCTCACATTCTCTGGCTGGTGCTCGACAATAGTGAAGGAGACACCAGCAGAAATACCTCTGTCATCTCAGCTGATGTCTGACCCCATCAGTGATGAGTCTAGACTCACAGACTGGAAGGGGTCTTACCCTCGGTCTCCTAAATACAGGCTCGCTGGATAGTAGTTAAGCAGGTGAAGTTCACCTGTTGGAGGCTGGCTTTGGCCACCACGTCCTCCTTGGTCAGAGTCCCCTCCTGCATTGCTCACATACCTACAGGCCCGGGGATAACCCTGCTTGCTGTGATCTCTTGTTACCATGGCAGAGAGGCTCTGGGGAGGTCCTTAGGGACCAGCCATTGCTCAGAGTGAGACTCGACTTCCAGCCCTGGCCCTGTCCCCTGGTTGCCTGGCTGCCGGGGACTCTAGTCATTTTACTCCTATTACCCAACAGAAACCCAGGTGGGTAACTAACGTTGGTGCTCGCATTGGTAAGACCTGATTAAGCTAAGCAACACGACTGATTATTCCAGTGTCATAAAAAGGACAAAAGCCATACAAATCATGCCATCCCTTTGCACCCTCTGCAGCTCCTGGCCGTGAGCGGCCCTTTCCACTACTGGGGTCCCGTGGTCGATGGCCAGTACCTCCGCGAGGCACCAGCCAGGGCGCTGCAGAGAGCCCCACGGGCGAAGGTCGATCTGCTCATCGGGAGCTCTCAGGACGACGGGCTCATCGACAGAGCCAAGGCCGTCAAGGTGGGCAACGGGGAGGCCTGGAGGTGTCCAGCTGGGCCCACCCCAGTGGCCGCTGGACCCCAAAGTCTCATCTGGGTCAAGCCGTTTACTTACTTGCTCATTTACTAATGATCACTGAAAAAGTACAGTGTGCAGCGGCTGTGTAAGGAGTTTGGACAATGGTGACAGAAGGCATTCCAGGAACTGGAGAATCATAGAGGGGTGGGGTCACACCACTGGTTGCGTCTGGGGCTGAATCTCAGTGGAAACAGTGAGCAGGTGCTGCCCAAGGGGCAACGTCTGTGTCAGAGCTCCACGTGGGGCACACAGGGCCCTAGGCTCCTGACACCCCTGCTCCATGAAGGACCCTTGTCCCCCTGAGAATCGGGAGAGGCGGGTGGGTGAAGGGCTGTGTGAAAAACAGCATCGTTCCCCAGTCCTGCAAGGGGTGTCCCACACCAGCCTTCGAGGCCGACTTTCTTACCCGGGAAGTGTGTGTGACGGGCCTGGAAAACACAGCTTTGAATGGCTTGTTGGGGTTCCAACAAAGTGCGGGAGCAGCTGTGAGGGCTTTTATCTGCCTGAGCACACACTTCCTGCTCAGACCGGAAGTCATAGCCGTAGCCATTAGCTGGGACGTGGCTAACCCTAAAATAGGCCCATGCCCTCCCACCCTGCCCCACCCCTCCTGGACAAGTGGCTCTTGACAGAAGTCCTTTCCATAGTGAACGCTGGGGTGGTGGTCCCAGACCATAAAACACAGTGAAAAGACCATTCTAGGGATGGGTCAGAGGGCACCCTCCCCAGCACACATACCCTCTGGGTCTCTGGGGCTATTTAATTATAGGGCAGTATAACTGGAATTAAAGAAAAAAAAGTCACTAACTTATCCAAACAGGATCCACATTCCCTTGAACCATGCTATTTCCTCTAGGTAATAGATCTTACTTTGAAGAATCTGTTCCTCAGCAATAAAACACCAGTTTTACATGATATCTGTACAAGGATATTTATCACAGCATTAATTATTGGGGCAAATATTGGAAGCAACTCAAATTTCCATTAACATGGAAATAGTTGGCTAAATTAAGATACACACAAGCTACTAAATATTTTGTTCTGGTATACTTAGGGGCAGCAAAACTAGAATATTCTCCTCTATGTAACTCACTTCCTCGCTTCCCACAGGCTCTGCTTAGCGGAGGGATCTGGGCTGACCACTTTGACTGGAAAGGCAACACCTCCCTCAGTATTCTGTACTCCCTTATCCTGCCGCCCGCCCAGCACCTATACCCAAAACCCAAAGCAAACCCATTGCTGTCGAGTCGATTCCGACTTATAGCTACCCTACAGGACAGAGTAGAACTGCCCCATGGGGTTTCCAAGGAGCAGCTGGTGGATTCGAACTGCTGACCTTTTGGTTAGCAGCTGAGCTCTTAACCACTGGGTCCGCCACCAGGGCTCCCCAGCAACTACATCCCCTGACATGTTGTATATCTATTTGTCTACTTTTTGCCCCAAGTAGAATGTAAGCCCTGTGCACCCTGAGACTTTATTTTGCTTTCTGCTTGTATCTCTGGTGCTGAGAGAAGTGTCTAGTACACAGTAGGTGCCCAATAAATATCTAGTGGCTTGATGAATGAAATCCTGGAGAACCTGCTATGTGCCAGGCCCTAACCTAGGCGTCTTCAAGGAAATAACTTCATCCTCACAGCAGCCCTATGCGGCAGGGATCGTCATCACTGTTTTTCGGATGGAGAAACCAGTTCAGTCCCAGCAACTCCTTGTCCTCCTGAACACTATGTCCCGATATCAGCCCAGACCCCCTGGCCGCCTGCTTCCGAGAAGTAGGACGTAGCAATTGCAGTCAGTCACCTCACCCAAGTAGGACACAGTGTCAGACATGGGTCTCTAACACTGAGACCTGCTTATTTCATCACCAGCGTTCATGAGGCCACTTGGTGCCACTGTGCTCGGTGTTTGGGGGCATAAATGCAGATTAAATTCCTGCCCTCAGAGCACTCACAGTCAGGTAAGGAGACAGAGGATAAACAAGAGCGGATAACTAAAAATGCAGTGTGATACACGCTATATGGGAAGATGGCCATCTTGTTCTAGACCCTCAGGAGGCTGTGGGGGGGACACTGGGCCCCACAATGGCCAGCAGAGGTGACACAGTGATGAAGGAACTGGCCAGGACCCTGTTCCCTCTACTGTCTGTTAACAGAGTGGGTAGAGGTGCACTGGGTGCCCCTGGATTATAATCAGAACCGTCTGGGTTCTCCAGAGCCTGAGCCTCAGTTTCCCTATCTGTAAAATTGGGAGGTTGTTAGTAAATACCCTCATAAAGATGTTGTGAGGATTCACATATACACCAGGGTCTGGCAGATCATATGTGCTCAATAAGTGTTCATTTTGTTCATTAATTCTTTCATTTTAATATTACTATGAACATCCAAAGCCATTGTCCCCGGTCCAGAGCATTATCCAGAGAAATCCAGAGCACAAAGAAAGTACGATCACCAAGTTACCAGGCCTGATAAAGACTAGTTCGAAATCGTAGTAGACCCCTACACATGCTTTTCCCCGCACTCAGCCCCTGCTTAAATACTCATGTGACCCAGCTTCCCGGCACAGCTCCCAGGATGGGTAGGAGGGCCTCACGGCTTCCAGTTCAGCCCCCTGGACCCATCACCCCAGCAGAGACCCAGCAGACTCCCTCAGATCAAAGAAGATGGGCAGGGAGGGGTTTCCAAGTCTGTGAGACGACCCCCATATACCACCCCAGGCCAGCGATGGCCCACCCAAACAATCCTCATGACCCCAGCAAAGTTAAGGACGTACCCTCGGGGCATTAGGTCAGCCCCAGCGCTGCTCACGGAGAAAGATCTGCTTTCCTGAAGTAGCGGCTTTCTATTGAAATTCTTCATCAGTCGCTGTGGTGGGGGTTTCTTCCCCCTTTTCTTTCTCTCTCTTCCTTACTGATGAAATTGACAGTCTGCCTACATTAACCGGGCGTTAATTTACATGATCAAAAGCAGATTTGTCCAACATGGAATGTTCTGCCTTCCCTTCCAAGCGCGAGCATCTCCAAGGAAGGCGAGAAAAAATCAGCACCAGAGCGCCGTGCCCCTGAGCTCAGCTAGGAGTTGGCCTCGTCCAGGAGCAGGTGGAGTGGGGGGGCCCTGCAGGGAGCAGGGACGGGAGGGCCGCCCGTTGGAGACTTGGAAGCAGCACCTGGCAGCCTGAGGCACTGGCATGAGCCCCAGCGCGGAAAAGCAATACGCTGGTGACAGATTACGGCAAGAGAAGTGTTCAGGAGTCCTCAGCCTGTTCATGAATTTCCTGAAAAGAGATGCTGCACTGAGTCCCCAGCACTGGAGGCAGGGGGTGGTAGGGTCTGTACCCAGACATAGCAGGTCCTGCAGAGAGCCCAGGACCTGGAGCCAACAAAATGGGTCTCCATTCCTGGTCTCCATTCCTGGTCTCCATTCCTGGTCTCCATTCCTGGTCTCCATTCCTGCCTTCAGCCGTGTGACTGAGGCTGGTCGCTTAACCAATCTGAGCCGCAGTTTTCTGCCCCTTTGGGTGGCACAGCGAGGCCTGCCCTGCCTGTCTCTGCACTGTTACAAGAGGACTTCTCAGCAAAGGAGATAGGAGGCAAGGTGTGGCTCAGTGCTAGGATTCTCACCTTCCGTGAGGAAGACCTTGGTTCGATTCCTGGCCAGGGCACTTCAAGTGCAGCCAGGACGCATCTGTCAGTGGAGGCTTGAATGGTGCTATGATGCTGAACAGGTTTCACTGCAGCCTCCAGACTAGGAAGAAAGGCCTGGAGATCTAGATCTGAAAATCAGCCCATGAAAACCTGATGAATCACAACAGCCCGATCTGTAACTGGTCGTGGGGATGGCACAGGACCGGGTGGCATTTTGTTCCATTTCGCGTGGAGTTGCCACGAGTTAGGGGCTGACTTGACAGCAGCTAACAGCAACAAGCAAAGAAGACAGCTTCCAACGCCTGGGCCCAGCGAGTATCCGGCCTTGGGCTGCTGTTGTCAGTTGATTTTTGACTCCTAGTGACCCCCTGTAACGGAGTAAAAAACTGCCCCAGAGGCGCTTCGAAGCTGTCATTTTTTCTGGGAACAGAAGGCCAGGTCTTTCTCCTGCGGAGCCGCTGGGTGGGTTCAAACCACCAGCCTTTCAGTTGGCAGCCAGCTGCGTAACTGCTGCCTCTAGTGCAGCGGAAACTCTACGCTCCGGGCCCTCCGTGCCAGGCGCCTATGTACCTCGCTCCTCTAACGGGCTGCAAAGGGAAAAGGATCAGCTTCACCTCAGCAAAAACTCCGGGTCTGAGGGCTTGAGGGACTTGTCACCCCAAAACAGTAAGGATTATATTTACAACCACACTGGCATAAAGATGAATGGGATCCAAGCTGGGTTCATTATTATATATTCATTCTTAGTATATTTAATTTTTCTTATGATTTGAAAAGAAGTTACAATGAAATCTTTTCACGGGCCCCTAAAACTGTGACAGGCCGTGGGCTCTGTGCCTGCTGCGTCTGGTGGACCTGTCGGCCCTGGTGGCCTGCGATGCTCAGGTCATGGGTGGTGGAGTCAGGACGCAGCATTGCGTGGATTCGCGCATGCAACCAACCTAGATTTCCTGAGAGGCTCCTGTGTGCTGGGCTCTCTCCTAGGCTCAGGGACAATGGAGACCAAAACAGGCTTGCGGAGTTTATATTCTAGTGAGGCAACAAGGCAGAAACAATAAGAATTTCAGATCTTGGAAAATACTCTGATGACACTTAAAACAGGGTAGTCGGAAAAGACATGATGGAATGGGGTGGGGGAGTGCTTTGGCCGGGTGATCAGGGAAGGCTTTCCAGAGGAGGTGACTTTTGAACTTAGACACGAATGATGAGAAGGAAGCAGCAACCAGGAGATCTAGGTGAAGGGCTAGAGCAACGTGGGGTAAGGCTGAGCTCGGCTTGTTTGAGGGACATAACCAGAGGACGTGGG